AAACAGCTGATAAAAACATCACAATAATCCACAAGTAATCCACACCACTCCAGTCCATCAGTTAATGTCTTGTGAAGACAAAATCTGCATTTTTATTTTTGACTTTAAGTCATCGCTTCTGGCTAAAATACGAGCCCATAATCCAAAATATTGCTTTTGCCAGTGAAAAAGCCGTCTCTTCTGAATTAGGAGAGAAATACGTACAGATCAAGCACTGTTTACAAGCAAAAACAGCTCTAAACAAATATGTGGGTGGATTTTAATGTCAGAGACAATCGGAGATGACTTTTTCACTGGATGAAGTGTTGTTATGGATTATGGACTCATATTTTATCCAGAAGCGATGATTTGTTTCTTACAAACATGCAGGTTTTCACTTCTCAAGACGTTAACTGATGGACTGGAGTGGTGTGGATTACTTGTGGATTATTGTGATGTTTTTATCAGCTGTTTGGACTCTCATTCTGACGGCACCCATTCACTGCAGAGGATCCACTGGTGAGCAAGTGATGTAATGCTACATTTCTCCCAATCTGATGAAGAAACAAACTCATTTACATCTTGAATGGCCTGAGGGTGAGTACATTTTCAACAAAATTTCATTTTTGGTTGAACTATTTTTTTAAGTAACGTCTTGTGTTAACCAATATCATCATCCTCCAGGAAATGACAACATATTATCAAAGGATTTTTATTAAATTTGTGATATTTGTGGTGTTAGTTGGTTTATGCCTGTTTGATTAAATTACACTACGTTCAAAAGGTTTGGAACAAGAATGATACATTCCCTCAATGTTTTCCCTCAACCCTTCCTTTTGTCTTCCTTTTTTATGCTAGATGGCTCTTGTTTTTTTCAGGAAAAAAAGAGATTACTGTCTGCATTCCCTTCATGTGTCTACAGAAAATCAATAACTCTGGCTGCATGGGCTCTGGTGGACAATGATGACAACTCCTCAGGACGCACCGCAGACTATTGTGGAAAAATAGGAATTAAAACAAAATAGCTACATTAATTTGTTTTCCATCAGCCTCTGGAGAGATAGTGTGCAGCGTTGCTCTCAGTCTCATTATACTTTCTAATCAAGACTCCTTTAAAAAATCCTTTTTAAGGCGACAGGCAGATTTGCCCTTCCCCCCGTTGCGCTGCTGCGCCTTGCTGTCATTGTGCTTCTGCTTATTACTTTACAAATGACCGAGGTGAGGCTGACATTTTCACTGCATGCAGAAAAGCTCGGTATGCTCGGCCTCTGCGGTAATGAATTTGCTTTGAGCTTTCGCTTCCCCCTCCGCTTTTCCCAATCAAGATTCCCCAATACAATTAAAATCACAGCATCTTGCCGCTGTGACACATGCATCTGAAGAAACACTGGTCCCCGACGCCACTCCAAAAGCAACGCACAAACCTCAGTGAAAAGAATACGAGGGTAAAATAAATGAACTCGCAGGAGTGTGAACAGCCACGGAAACCTGCTTTAAATTCTGCGAGCTGAGTAAGGATTTATTTTCACATCTTTAATTCAGGAGTGACTTTGTCAGTAAATTGGTCTCTTACTGTTATAACAGGAGCGAGGTGTGATATCACAGGCCCTGTGGATAAAAACACCATATCAATATTTTAACAGTTAACTTGGTAATTTTCACCTTCTCATAAAAATATATCGACCACATCCTTTTGTGCTGGTAAGGCAGTCTAAATATATAAAGGTGTACTCTTAGCCATTATTTTTTTTTCTCTCCAAGCAATGGTGCTTTTTAATAATATGTTCATTTATTTATTCATGAATCCAACTGTTTATAGAAAGTCAGCTTTAAAGCAGCCTAAAATGCTTAGCTGAATGGTCTCCCAGCTTCGCTAAACTGGTTTTAGAGGGGTTTTCGGGCACCTGTCAGCTGGTCAGGTTGGTTTAAGTCAGGTGTTCTCACTGCATTTCATGACTTCATATGTCACATTCAGTGCTGTTGCATCTACTTCAGGATTTTTTCTTTTCTTTTCTCCATCCCCTCTCAAATATGTGAACTTAAGCATGTGGCAATTTTTTTGCTAACTGAAATCTCATGTTTATCAAGCTGTAAAAATGTAAATAAATAAATTAAAATAAGACAGAAAAAGAAAAAACACGTTTGATGATTGACATGCAAAAAGTGTTTCTGATTGGCTTAAAAAGCCAATAGCCTATGGCTTTTTCACCTGATAACCTATCTACAGTACTATATGTGACCTTGGACCAAAAAAAAAAAACAGTCATAAGTAGCACGGGTATATTTGTAGCAATAGCCAACAATACATTGTATGGGCCAACATTATCGATTTTTCTTTCATGCCAAAAATCATTAGGATATTAAGTAAAGATCATGTTCCATGAAGATATTTTTGTAAATTTCCTACCGTAAATACATAAAAATGTTATTTTTGATTATCTCAGCCAAATATTGTCCTATCCTAACAAACCATACATAAATGGAAAGCACTTTCACGGACTTTTACATTAACTGTTCCCTCCTGGTGGAGTGACCTGCCCAAATCAATCCGAGCAGCTGAGTCCTTAACCATCTTCAAGAAACGACTAAAAACACATCTGTTCCATCTTTATTTGACCCTCTAACTCTAACACTTTCTATTCTATTTTAATTCTACTTGATCTATATTTATCTTTTTTTTATTTTTTTTATTCTTTATTAAAAAAAAACAACAACAAAAACTAGCTTTCTATTTTTTCTATTCTATCTACTTGTTTTTCTTTGTTTGTGTGTGTGTGTATAATATATATATATATATATATATATATATATACACCTTGCTACGTGTACTGCGTTAGGCTAACCGAGACTTGTCATTTGCACTTATATATTGTTGCTCTTTTGTTAGTTTTGACTGCTTTTATTGTCCTCCTTTGTAAGTGGCTTTGGATAAAAGCGTCTGCTAAATGACTAAATGTAAATGTAAATGTTGAACAAGCGCTTTGGTGACGTCACGCCGCTTCCTTCAAGTGCAGCCGAACGTGACGCTTCTTCAGTTCACGCAGCCGTTAAAGCTTCGAGTCAAGAGCGCTGCTCTGCTGCGACTCCTCAGAAACCGCTGGGAAATTATCAGTCTCCTTTTACAAGGTCGCCGGAGGATTTATCTCAAAGTGAAAGCAGAAGGTGAGTGAATTATTTAATTAATCTGACGGAGACCGCGTGTCTTGGTTTGTGTGTAGTACTTGCGGTTTGTTGTTTGCGTACTGAATCGGGTTGATAACGGTCACAAACTCACCAAAAGATCAGTTATTGATCTCAATCTGTTGTTAAAGTCATCGGGTATCGAATGTATATGAAACTTGTCAAAGTATTTAAATTAAAACGCGGCTTTTCAATCTTAAAATCGTGCGTAAAGTAGTTTTTCTGTCATGACTGTCATAGCCTTTGTGTAACTAGCATCAGCTGGTTAATGGGTAGTTAGTTGTCCACGATGCTTTTCATATTCAAAACCAAAAGAATATTAAAATATATGTATTTTATAAGGCAGATTTGTAAGTGTGTATCTTAGCTGTTCGTACGCCGTTTAAGTTTAGCTATCAGTTTCATTTCAGTGATTTTGCTAACGTATACGACTGATGGATGTTTAACGTAAGTACAAATACTGCGTCTATCAATTAAAGTGAGCTTATAATAAAGCAACATAATTAGGCAAAAAAGAACTAAAGATCGTTAAGATGATTTTCTTTCTTTCTAACTCATCTTTGATGTCGACTGCAGTTAGTAATAGAGGAGAGAAACATGAAATTGTGTCAATTTTGCACAGTATTCAATACTCTGCTTTGCTTTCAGACAGAAAGTTGTCTTTATCTGTTATGGATACATTAGCCAAATCATTCAAGTCGAAAGGAAAGGTTTGGTGTTACAGATGTTGTTCAGGGTTTGATGTTTCAGCTTAGGTGGATCTACAATATATGACTGTCGTCCTTAGATGTTGTGTTTTTTATTTAGTCTTAGATAAATACAACGTAGCTGATGAAGGTGGTGGTGCATAAATTCTTGATATTGATATTGGCCTATTATTTTCTAATGCACTGAACAGAGTCTTAAAATATATAATTTTGGGGGGGAAAAAACAGCAAGATTGGGAATAACTAAAACTTGTCTCCATAATCACTATTTAAATGTTATGAGGTATTGTAATGTTCATTTGACCTCTTCATTTGACTTTTTGTGTTTGCTTGTGTAGAGATTCGTCGACAGTGAGAAATGGCACATGTGATCAGACCTTGAGATCTCACAAGTCTCGCAAGCCAAAGACGTGATTCAGATTCAGTCCAGTGACTGTTGTCATTGGCCATAAAGATAAAAGTGGATGTTTTATTATTATAAATAAGACCGAGTTAGAGTAAGGAGAATTGCTATTGACAATGACAAAATCTTACAGTAATGAGAATTTGGTGCGGAATTGTCATGAAAATGTCAAAATTCAGCTTTTTTTCCTTTTGATTTTGGGACTTGGGACCAGTTTGTGAGATTCACCCTGTGTGTTTCCCTACCTCTCCATTTGTCTTTGCCTTTTTTTTTTTTCCCCTGCAAATGCTCCGCTCTTTTGTGTGACACCGGCTGAACGGACGACGCCAGAGATCCGAGCGTCTTCCTAACAGCATGACATTGTGCTGTAAGCCATGAGAGATCCGTGAAATGAGCTTAAATCTCGCCGCATTTGAGCTCTCAATACCAGCTGCATGAAGTCTCGGCACTGCTGCATAAGACCTGTTTCAACACGGAAGATATAAAATCTATGTGAATCTTTTTTTTTTTTTTTTTGATTCTGTCTGAGCAAACTCATTGACTTGAATGCATGTTGGAAAAGCTGAATGTGTGTGTGTGTGTGTGTGAGAGAGAGTGAGAGAAGCACATTTTGGCACATTACTTAGGCACATTTTGCCCCAAATGCTTATTACTGTAATGTACCTAAACTTTATTTATTTATTTGGTAATTCTTGATGGTGGTAAATCACTTTTTAATTTAAATAACTTTTTAATTATTTAAATCACTGTGAAGGCAGTACATGACCAGCCTTACAAGTTTACGATCTTTTTACATAATGTTAATATCAAATAATATTTGGTTAATATAATACATTATTTGCATTACAGTAATCAGAATTTGCACATAAAAATGACATCAACATGTGGCTCAAGTTTTTTGAATAAGAAAAAATGTTGCATTTTACAAACATAAAATATTTTATTTATTTATTGCATTGCGTTGTATTGCAACATAATTATTTTATGACATTTAAAGACATATACATACGTTTTAAATATTAAAGGGTTAGTTCTAGGTAGTTCACTGACAAGCTACACAAAATCGCGTTCAAAATCGGCAATGAATCGCCTGCGATTTTGAATGCGATTTTGTGTAGCTTGTCACTGATCTACGGCTCTGTGTAGTAAATGCCGCTCCATCTGAAAGCACGTGCTGGAGATTTACTACTAATCACCAGAAGCGGCTTTACTGATGAGATTCGCATGAAAATCGCATTCGATTTTTTGCCCAGCTATTAAAACGCGCCTCACACGGCTCTGGGGGTGAATAAAGGCCTCCTGTAGCAAATTGATGCATTTTTGTTAGAAAAATATCCATGTTTAAAATGTTATAAATACTTTTTTCTCACTTCTGCTGACTATCATACGTGCAAGCCATTCCGGCGGATGATGTAGGACGTATGCGTCACGCCCTCGGAAGTGAGAAATGACGAACGCAGATGCGCGGAGGAGAGACAGCAAAACAAAAAAGCCGGTCACAAATTAGAAGCACAAAACGAGGATTTGTAAAGAAAAATGTAGGAGGATTTCGATATAAGCCAAGAGGAGACTGGTTTTCCTTTGCTAAAGTAAGGAAACTTTGCTTCCTTTGCTCCTGTAAACAAACTCGCGAGACTGGCATATCTCACCGGCGTGTGCGCGACGCGTACGTCCTACGTCATCCGCCGGAACGGCTTGCACGTATGACAGGCAGCAGAAGTGAGAAAAAAGTATTTATAACCTTTTTAATACGGATATTTTTCTTACAAAAACGATTCACCAATTTGCTACAGGAGGTCTTTATTCACCCCCCGGAGCCGTGTGAGGCACGTTTTATTATGGATGCACGCGCTTTATTTTACGTGTTTTGGACTGTTGAACAAAAACACCCACCTACTCCCATTCCAAAGCTTGGAAGAGCAAGGAAAATTTTTAATATAACTCCGATTGGATTTGTCTGAAAGAAGAAAAGTCATATATATACCTAGGATGCTTTGAGGGCGAGTAAAACATGGGCAAATTTTTAATTTTTGGGTGAACTAACCCTTTAATATCAAATAATATTTGTTAAAATATTCTATGCCAGTGTCAAATATTAATTTCTGTTCAGGAAATCTGGACAGACAATAAAGTTAAACTAAACTAAAATAATAATAGATTGGATTTGTCTGAAAGAAGAAAAGTCATATATACCTAGGATGCTTTGAGGGCGAGTAAAACATGGGCTAATTTTTAATTTTTGGGTGAACTAACCCTTTAATATCAAATAATATTTGTTAAAATATTCTATGCCAGTGTCAAATATTAATTTCTGTTCAGGAAATCTGGACAGACAATAAAGTTAAACTAAACTAAAATAATAATAGATTATTTGCATTACAGTAATGAGAATTTGCACATAAAATTGTCATAAAAATGACATCAAAATGTGGCTGAAGTTTTTTTTTTATTTATTTTTTTTTTATTTTTTTTTTTTTTAATTTTTTTTTAAATACGATCCTTCATTTCAGGTCAAAACTCCCCCCTATATTAATATAATATCAATTATTTGCATTACAGTAATGAACATTTGCAGGCTTTTGTGCCTAATTGTCATAAAAATGACATAAATCAAAAAGTCAAGTAAATATTATTATTATTATTATTATTATTATTTTTTTATTTTATTTTATTTTTTTTATTCTTCATTTGGTACTTGGACATGTTGATAGGTTTCGTGAGATTCACCCACACAACCTAATTGACTTGTGAATCTAATATGTAAAGCACATCGACGCATACACAGATGGATCCTGCTTTTGAAATGCATCACTTAAAGGGGTCATATGATGCTATTTTAAAGATCATTATTTTGTGTATTTGGTGTAACCTTTGGATTTGAGACTTTAGTCTTTGCAACTTTACAGATCTTCTTTATGCACCAAGAGCTTGTAACACTGCAAAGAGAAAGGAAAACTTGAAATCGCATCATATGACCCCTTTAAACAGCTGGAAGTAGGTCTGTGCAATTAATCGAAATTCAGTTTCGATTTCGGCCTCCAACGATTGTGAAAATACAGTAATCGAGATAAAACGATTATTGCGCCCCATTCTGCCCCTTTTCCAGCGGTGCTTTTTCATTCCTCCATAAAAACCCAATTTCACGCGCAAATCAGTAAAATCATGTAACAAGACTTTTGAAAAACGGGCCATGCTTGATTTAAAGTTGATTAGATTTATTTGTTTTTAAAAGCGTGAAAGAACTTGCGCTTCCTCGGGAAGATTACTGTGGATGCGCCCAGAGAAGGAACACAGCACGGACATGGAAAGTCATCTTTTAGTGCCTAAACGGTCAAATACACACAATTTCAAAATGCAGCGCTTAGTGATTATTCACGTAAACCCTCGTCAGTAATAAATGAACGTAAAGATTTGAGAATGAAAATACTTGTGTAACAGTAAACTGGATCCGTGCGGCTCTTAAAGTGACAGCGGGATATATTCCTGCTGTGACTGTGTGCTTAATATTAATCAAACAACAAAAGACCCATTCAAAATCACACACTGCTCTTGAGTGAAGGACTTTTGTAGCTTTAATAAGAAACAAAGGAAGTTTAATTCTTACAGTGAAGACTATGCCGTTTTATTAGGTTAGATTATATTTACTATGCCGGTTAGATTATACTGACAGTTTTGTGAATTCATCTGGCCAGAGATTCAAATAATAAAGCAGAGTTACAGTCAGAAGGTCAACATAGATTTATTCAAAACTGCCATCCTTGAAAGTGCAACAACCACCCATGAATACAAACCACTCTGCATCATAGTCTGGTATTTAAGGGGATGAAAAATAACACAGTGCCATTTGAATGTGCTGCTGCATGTTATCAGGC